CAGAGACCCCACCAACCCCTCCCCAAATGCCCCCGCCCTCACCCTCCCTGCGGGAGAAGAGGCCAGAGCTGCCCCTCGGATGGCCCCTGCCTGGGACTTCAGGGCTGGAGGCAGAAGGGGAAGGCCCCTGGGGCTAGGGCCAAGTGGTGTGGGAAGACAGAAGCAGACTGGGGCAGACTCACAGGTACAACTCTTTGTGAAGCTATCTCTGGCCACTGCAGTCTGCTGCCCGCCCAACAAAAGAGAACATGCTTGCGGTGACTGTGCCTGACCTGGACAACTCTGCCCCAAACCGCCTTTCCTGGAGAGCAGAAAGGGAAGGAGGAGGCACTTCCCTGTGGCCAGCCCCCCTACTTCTCATGGCAGGATGATCTGAGGAGGCCCTGAGACCCCGGGCAGCTGTGTCAAGGCTGGGGCCAGGTAGCTGTTATCATCCCTCATGATCATGGGAAAATATGTCCCAGCAAGTTTTTCTCAATGACCAGGACTGACAACACAATGATGTCAATCACAGCAGGAAATAGTGAGAACAACCCAAATGTCCACCAACCAATGGACAAATAAATAAAATGCAGTCCATCTGCACAATGGAACATTACTCACAATAGAATGGAATGAAGTACTGCGTGTTACAGTGCACATGAGCCTGGAAAACTTTATTTGAAGCAAAGGGAGCCAGTCACAAGGCCACATACTGTATGATTCCGTTTATATGAAATGTCCACAGTACGCAAATCCAGAGGCAGAGATAGCTTCATGGCTGCCTAAGGAGAGGGAGAATGGAGGTGAACGCCAAAGGGCACAGTTTCTTTCTGGAGTGATGAGGATGTCCTGAATTTGATGGTGTGAAGTTGCACAAGTCTGTGAACATACTAAAAACCATTGAACTACATGCTTTAAAAATGGTTGAGGCCAGGCACGGTGGCTCACACCTGTAATCCTAGCATTCTGGGAGGTTGAGGTGGGAGGATTGCTTGAGCTCAAGAGTTAGAGACCAACCTGAGCAAAAGTGAGACCCCATCTCTACTAAAATAGAAAAACTAGCGGGGCGTCTTGGCTCATGCCTGTTGTCTCAGCCACTCAGGAGGCTGAGGCAGGAGGATTGCTTGAGCCCAGGAGTTTGAGGTTGTTGTGAGCTAGGCTGATGCCACAGCATTCTAGCCCAGGCAACAGAGTAAGACTCTGTCTCAAAAATAAATAAATAAATAAAAATGGTTGAATTACATGGTATATGAATTATAGCTCAACAAAGCTGTTACAAAGAAAAATATACCACAAAAGCATACCTTAGCTGCATTTAGAAAGCAGGGGCTTTTTAGGCCAGAATAGATGTCAGGGGAAAGGAGGGAAGAGTTTGCTTAGATACTGAAGGTCAAGAGGCGTCCTGACTCTGGCTTAGGGCAATGCTGCAAAAGTACCGAAATCTCTAAAAGACGGGGCAATTTTGTACCCCTGCCAACGTGGCACTGCGGGCGGTGGGGAGCAATGGAGTGCGGGCTGTGGCCTGTAGCCCAGGCTTGGCCTTGTGCCCACTCCAGCCCTGGTGGCTGGGAGTGCACACCAACCCCACTCTGCTCTCGGTGCATAAATTCACTGAGAAATATGAATGGATAACAACAGAAAATGGTATTGGAATGGTGGGAATCAGCAATTTTGCACAGGAAGTTTTGGGGGATGTTGTTTACTGTCATCTGCCTGAAATTGGAACAAAATGAAATAAACAAGACAAGCTTGTTGGGAAGCTTGGGACAAAATGAAACAAACAAGGCAAGCAAGCGCCTCTTGATGCTTTGGAAAGTGCAAAAGCTGCTAGTGAACTCCGTTCTCTTTTATCAGGAGAAGTAGCTGCAATGAATGAAGCTCTGGCAGAAAACCCAGGACTTGCCAACAAATCTTGTTACGATGGCTGGCTGATGGAGAGGACTCTGACACTTCAGAACTAGATGGACTAATGAGTGAAGAAGCATATGAGAAATGCATAAAATTTATTGAGGAGTGAAAATGGAACCCGCAAATAAACCAGTGTGAAATAACTGAATCCAGCATAGTTGTCTTAAATTAGCTATGAATAGACAACTTCATAGCAACTACTCCCAACACTGCTAGTGAAAGAAAATACTCCCTAACTTTCTAAGGATTGCAGATAAACAAAATATGCATCTTTTTCACAATACCCTATGATTTTTAGACTAGGCTCTAGTATTCAGAGTTCATGAAATTATCCATGATAAAAACTAGTTATAAAAATTTTGTAATTCAAGGATAGCATTGTTATCTTAAGCCTTATATAATACCAAAATTTGCTTACATCCATACCAGGATTTGGGTTGAAATACTCAATGATCTTTCCAATGGAAATAACTGGGAGTGGAGAAGTCATACAGTTGTCAAATGAAGAACAATATTATCTTTATTTTGCAATACTAAAAAAAAAGGTTAATTTAAAATGTTATTGTTGGCATGGAAATAGATTGGTTTAGCATTGAGGCAGAACAATTAGCTTAAATAGGAAGCCACAGCTGGTGGGTATAGCCCTCCATAAGCCACATCATGAATAATAAAGTTGATTTTATTGCTGATCTTGTGTGCCTCAAGGCCAAAATTGTTCATAGTCAAAGCTCAACAAACGGTGACTATTTTCCTCATGATCAGTAGTGGCCCTGATGCTCAGAGCCAGCCAGGATGGGAGTGGACTGCCCGAAGAGGCAGCAAGCTCCTTTCCCTCGAGTGTTGGGCCCAGGCTTGCTCACCGCCTGTCCAGGCTTCATGGGAGGAGGGTTCCTATGGCAGGTAGGGTTTGGACGAGAACTTCCAAGTCCTGCCAGCTCTGAGAGCCTCTGATGCACATCCCACCCCCACAGAGCTTTACACACAGCATATGAGACAGCTACCAATGTTCTCTGACTTAAAATTTTGATTGTGATAAGAGACATGATTAGAAATGATTAGAACAAGAACAGGAGAGGACAGCAAGGTAAGCTTGCTGCAGTGGAAGGAGGCACAGCCCAAGAGCCCGGAGACGATGAGGTCTCTGCGCCTTCAACATGTTCTGACCCTACTCTCCACTCAGACCAAACAGGGAGAGGTCGTCCACTGGGGGCCGTGAGGCCTAGGTGGAGGGACTGCTTTTGGTTCAGTCCATGGAGTCCTTCCCCTTAAGTCTGGATGTCCATCACATCAGCATCACCCGTGGGAGACTTAGAATGCACGTGCCCAGGCCACACTCTGCAGATAGAAAGCTTCCTCGGTGCAGCCAGGGCCATGCACTAGGCTTTAGCTCTGGTCCCACCACAGCTCTGGCCATGGGTAATTCTCAGGGCTGGAGGGTGAGGGTTGGGGCAGGGTGGCTGTAGCTAATACCCAGGTATCAAAGGAAGTACAGCCCCAAGGTTAATTACGCACCATAAAAGCAACTAGAGCCCATGGGGAGGTGGGGACAGGGTTTGGGGGAATCTTCTCAAAAGTGAGCTGCCCCGGGGCTGGGCATGGTGGCTCACGCCTGTAATCCTAGCACTCTGGGAGGCCCAGGCAGGCCAATTGCTCAAGGTCAGGAGTTTGAAACCAGCTTGAGCAAGAGTGAGACCCTGTCTCCACTAAAAATAGAAAGAAATTAATTGGCCAACTACAAATATATAGAAAAAATGAGCCGGGCATGGTGACACATGCCTGTAGTCCCAGCTACTGGGGAGGCTGAGGCAGGAGGATCACTTGAGCCCAGGAGTTTGAGGTTGCTGTGAGTTAGGCTGACGCCACGGCACTCTAGTCTGGGCAACAGAGTGAGACTCTGTCTCAAAAAAAAAAAAGTGAGCTGCCCCAAGACCAGCTTTGCCCTCCCCTGTCCCCAACTGCAGGATTGGAAGGAGCAATGAGTGCAATCTGCCTGAAATTGGGCTGTGTCCCAACCAATCACACCTGTTTCCTCCACTGGTGTTAAAAATTGGCTCTAAATGGCCTCTGGTATTTCCCACTTCACCACCAACATCAAGGAAAGTTTTATGATTCTGAATTCGAGGATTGTGAGGAATTGGGATTTACTCTAAAATAATGAGAATTTTTGGAAGGCAGAGGTGGATGATCATAGCATGAGTCTCTGGAGCGGGTGTTTTATATGTGTGTACTGTAAAAAGAAAATCAAAGACTCAGGCACCTGTGCAGAGCTGGCCCCATAGATCATTCATTAAGGAAATTTCTTGCTATCCTCCCATAAGCAGGGACATGCAAATTGTACCTATGTCTAGCATGTAAAACTAAAGCCTGTTGGAGTCCACCCTAACGATGACTGACAAGTATATCTTACAGGCAACAGAACTAGCGACAAGACAGAATCAGACATTCTTCCACCTACCCAGAGACATCTACATAATCGATGCTTCCTTCATTCCCTTATTTTATGTAAAATGTGGATTTCTTATGTAACCACTACCTCATCATCCCCCACCCTTGCCTTTTGCCTTCTCTCTGCATGTCTTTAAAATGCTGAAGGTTCCAGCTTCCCCTTCAGAAAAACAGCTACAGCTTGTCTGCAGTTAGTGTTTTCCCGGGGATGTCCTCAAAATCTTAGCTTAATAAACCTTCATTGATTGAGATTTTTGCCTCAGTCATTTATCTGGGTCGACAGTATACAAAGGACACACAGGAGACAGGTTCTCTCCCAGAACAAACAAACAAGCCCTCACACGCCCCCCGCTGCACACACAACCCCAGGCCCAGGCACACATCCCCTCTGACCCCCTCACGTTCACACTCAGGTTCACACGCGCCCCCACCTGCCTGCTCAAGGTGTCACCCACACACATACTCTAAGGCACACAACCACCTCACATGGCAAGACACACGTGAGTGTGAGTGCGCGCCACCCACCACGGCCACATGCTCACCGCTCTCCTGTGCACAACACACACATACCTGTGCACACACGGCCATATATAACACGCATATCCAAGCCCAAATACACGGTACACGTTCTTGATTACAAGTGACTGAACCCAACTCAAGTAGGCTTAAGCATAAAAGATCATTTATTTGCTCTCACAATTGGGAAGTTCAGGGGCACATTTGGCTTCCGGCCTACCCAAATGAGGGGCTCGGTGATGTTATCAGGACATGTCTTTCTCCACCTCTGTTGGCTCCATTTTCCTCCACGTTAGTGTCATTCTTGGCCAGGCCATCTCCACACAAGGATGACCCCCAAGGGAGCACCTCTTTCCTCATACATCAGGCTGGAGTTCCAGGCTGACTCTTACTGGGCTGATGTAGGCCACATGCTATCCCTGTGGCCAGGAGGATAAAATACTGTCATTTTTTTTTTTTTTTTTTTTTGAGACAGAGTCTTGCTTTGTTGCCCAGGCTAGAGTGAGTACCATGGTGTCAGGCTAGTTCACAGCAACCTCAAACTCCTGGGCTCAAGCGATCCTACTGCCTCAGCCTCCTGAGCAGCGGGGACTACAGGCATGCACCACCATGCCCGGCTGATTTTTTCTATATATATTAGTTGGCCAATTAATTAATTTCTATTTATAGTAGAGACAGGGTCTCGCTGTTGCTCGGGCTGGTTTCGAACTCCTGACCTCGAGCAATCCACCCTCCTCGGCCTTCCAGAGTGCTAGGATTACAGGCGTGAGCCACCACGCCCAACCAGAATACTGTCATTTTCATGGGACTAGATCCTGTGCCCAAGCCCCTGGGGATGAGCAATCAGCCCCCACCAACCTGTATAGAAGGGAGGCAAAAAGAGGTGAGTCGCCGAAAGACAGGGTTGAGATGCTGAACAGGCAAAAACAGCAGGTGTTCACTGTGTACACTCACCCAAATGTACACAAATAAAGATGTGGAAACCCAGAGAGACAGGGTATAAAGATATAAGTGTATACATTGAGCCCTTATATAAATAATGTCTACCTTCTGTGCCTTATCAACAAAATATTGATTTCAGATAAGTAACTGATTCAGACATGTGCTATAGGGCTTCAGAGGAAGAGGAGAGCCCTTGAGTGAGCTGAACTTAGAAAAGTAAGCTACAGATGGAAAAGACCTGGAAATGTGATGAACCATTGCACAAAATCAGGATTGCTATGGAAGAGTGGAAGGGCTGGGTGGTGGGGAGGAGGATGGGATTGAGGGCTTCGAAGGCCAGACAGAGTCTATTCCGTTGGCCAGAGGGGCCGATGCAGGTGGGGGCAGAAGGGTGGCAAGGTTAAAGCTGCGTGTTAGGGAAATTAAGCTGGCAGAGGTGCGTGGGTTGTATAGTAGGGGCAAAGGCTGGAGGCTGGACACTGGAAAGGAGGCTATTGCAGAGAGCAGGTACGGAGGCCTCTGGTGCAGTAGGAGTAGGGGCAGGAAGACAGGGGTGGAATCAAGCTAGAACCAGCTTCAAGGATCTGGCAGTTGACTGCATGACCGTGAGTCAAAGGTGGCTCGGGTGCATTTCTGGAAGCTCCAGGCTGAACCCTAGCAGCTTCTGTTCCAGCCATGCTGGTACGTTCACTTGCCACGAGCCACTGGGCTTACTCGCACCATGGCGCCAACCCAGCAGCTTCAGACCACAGCCCCCTGGAGACAGGGCAGTTTCCTCTGGTGCCTGTGCGTAGTCCTATCTCAGTGCCAGCCTCTGCCTGGCAGGGCACCAGTCCACAGTAGACACTGCAGAGTCCATGTGTATGTTGTTGAGATAAACTCAATGTTTATGGTATTACTAATTCAAGGCTACTTGGAGATCTTGCAGCCAGTTCTGGCTAAAATGCAAGCATGGAAAACTCATTTTATTTATTTATTTATTTATTTATTTATTTATTTATTTATTTATTTAATTGAGACAGAGTCTCACTGTGTTGTCTAGGCTAGAGTGCCCTGCCATCAGCCTAGCTCACAGCAACCTCAAACTCCTGGGCTCAAGTGATCCTCCTGGCCTCAGCCTCCCGAGTAGCTGGGACTACAGGCATGCGCCACCGTGCCCGGCTAATTTCATATATATATATATTTAGTTGGCCAATTAATTTCTTTGTAATTATACTAGAGACCAGGTCTAACTCTTGCTCAGGCTGGTTTTGAACTCCTGACCTTGAGCGATCCTCCCGCCTCAGCCTCCCAGAGTGCTGGGATTACAGGCGTGAGCCATGGCCCACGGCCAGGAAAACTCATTTTAAACTGAAAAAAGGGGGGGAGGACAAAAGAGGTTTTAAAAATCAAACTGCCATGGAAAATGTTTTATCCAAAAGTTTGACCCACAGTCTTTATTAGATTATCTATCGGGGCAACAAAAGTTTAGCCACGTGAACGAGTTCCAATTTGTTAGGAGTAATCTGGATCCAGTTGTTTTGTAAACTGGTGAGTTTGTGTTACTATCTCATAGCTAGAGTTCTGAGATAAAAGCTATTGGAGCTTTGTGTGCATGTGCGTGGTTGTGTATGTATTTGGATGTAGGGGTTTTTTGTATGTATATGCATTATATGTTGTGTCTACATGGTATCAGATCTGCCTATAAATGAGAGAGCACTCATAAATTAATTAAATGAATCCAAATGCTTCTCAAGTTCACATGAATTTAGTAATCTTTGGTAAATAAGCGGGGTTAAAAATTATTATTAATAAAGTAAAAATAAAAATGTCTTCGAATTGTCAGCATACATTTTTGCCTGGATTTACTGGTCATTTTTATGTTTTTAAAATGTCAGGATTGAACGCGAAGTTTATAAAATTATAAACCCAGACAAAACCAAAATGATCTATGTTTGTAAGTTTGATAAGTAAGGCTAATTTAATATTGTTGGTCTAATGATAATAGCTAAATCTCCTGAGTTATTGACAAAAATACTCATGTGTTTAACTTTAAGGTCCTTACTTCGGTAAAAATGTAGACATGCCCAAACAAAAATAAAATGTCAGTAAATTAAAATAACTAGCAAGTAATAAGAGCATAAAAATAGAAACTTATGGTCAAAGGTTTATGAAGATATTTGGTTTCTGTTTTTTTTTTGAGACAGAGTCTCACTTTGTTGCCCAGACTAGAGTGAGTGCCTTGGCGTCAGCCTAGCTCACAGCAACCTCAAACTCCTGGGCTCAAGCGATCCTCCTGCCTCAGCCTCCCGAGTAGCTGGGACTACAGGCATGCGCCACCATGCCTGGCTTCAATTTTTCTATATATATTAGTTGGCCAATTGATTTCTTTCTATTTATAGTAGAGACATGTCTCACTCTTGCTCAGGCTGGTTTCGAACTCCTGACCTCGAGAAATCTGCCCACCTCGGCCTCCCAGAGTGCTAGGATTACAGGCATGAGCCACCGCACCCGGCCAAGATATTTGGTTTTGGTCTTTTAATCCTAGTTGTAGATCCCAGCTTCTTATACCAATTTCAGTGTCTATCTATAGAAAGGTACACGTAATATCTGTTTCTAACTCACTCTATTATCTGATATAAACAATACTGTTGGGGATATAAAAGCTGCCCTAGGAAATGTAATTACAAGAGCCTAAACCAAATCAGAGGCCTCAGTTTTTCCCCATTCTTTATTTGTTCTACTCTTTGCTTGCTAGCCTGTGATTAAATTATATGTGCATTGTTTTTCCATAGCAAAATCCTATGCATAGGAAAATTTTTTTAAAAAATCCCTAAACTGTTAATTTTTGTATAAAAATTTATTTTAAAATGGACAAGTTGGTTGTTTTGGGAATCCAAGGAAAATCTCAAAACAATCTCACTTTTTGGAAGTATCACATCTACTCAAGTTTATACTCAAGTTGGAAAATGTTTTGAGACTATTTAGATTGTTCTTAAAATAGCTTGATCTTAATCCTCACCTGAAAAAAAACACGTTACAATTCTGTGTTGTTGCTTGAGATGCTAAGGATTGACATTGAAGGTTTGTTTGGCTTATAGTCAGGTGGTATCATGTTGATGGGGCTCAAAATACAGTACCCTAAAACGAAGGCTTCAGAAGCCACAGTTCTCTGACCTTGCCTAGTCCTCTTGCCCCTCCGTCCCATTAGTCCCTGGGGCTAGCCGTAGAAACCAGAATACCTATTCCCCAAGGTGTGTCAAAAAAGCCAGAACTTTTTCCAGAAAACCAGCCATAAAACCTAAAATTATTCCATATAAAAGCTGGCCATAAAGTAATTATATGACCTACTTTGTTTGACTGTAAACCCCCATTTCAGAAAGGGCGCTGCCCCATACCCAGAAAGAAGGAACACACACTCAGAGAGGCCAAACAGAAGCTAGACCAGAAAGGCCTTGGTGGGTTCCCCATCAGCCTGTTAGCATTAGATCCCCTGTATCTTTGAGTTTTCATTCTGAATTCTCCCATGTAGACATGTTAAAATAGGTTTGTAATTTTTCCTTCTGTTAATCAATCTGCCTCATGTCAGTGATTTTTTCAGCGAACCTTAATGGGCACAGGGGCCTTTGATCACTACAATATGGCTAAATTTTGAGGAGGCCAGAGACCTTAGATCCCTACAATGTCAATAGATTTTGTTTCGGGATGTTGGTATTTTGGAAGGAAATATAATTAGTCACACCTTTAAACAAGATGTGTACTAAAATTTCTACTATATTTATAAAACTTAGAAAAGATGTTTCATTGTTCAAAATAGCAAGTCTTACTAGAATACATTTGTTTGTTTTCTTGATACGATATTTTGAGTTTAAAAGGAGTAATTAAAACTATATTTTGGGCCGGGCGCGGTGGCTCACGCCTGTAATCCTAGCACTCTGGGAGGCCGAGGCGGGCGGATTGCTCGAGGTCGGGAGTTCGAAACCAGCCTGAGCGAGACCCCTTCTCTACTAAAAATAAGAAATTAATTGACCAACTAAAAGTATATATACAAAAATTAGCGGCATGGTGGTACATGCCTGTAGTCCAGCTACTCAGGAGGCTGAGGCAGGAGATCCTTGAGCCCAGGATTTGAGTTGCTGTGAGTAGGCTGACGCCACGGCACTCACTCTAGCCTGGGCAACAAAAGTGAGACTCTGTCTCAAAAAAAAAAAAAAAAAAAACAACTATATTTTGATTCCTGGTCTGTGTTATATATCTAATTCACAGAATATAAAAATAGTTAACAGAAAATAACTTAAAATGAGAACTGAGATCTAAGTAAACTGTTAAGATAAATAAATTAATTAGGTAAATGTAAATGGGATAAAATGCTTACAAATAAACTTTTTATATAATTTAGAATCTTAGTTTTATTAAATAGGCCGGGTGCGGTGGCTCATGCTTGTAATCCTAGCACTCTGGGAGGCTGAGGCGGGCAGATTGTTCGAGGTCAGGAGTT